CCCCGCCAAGGAATACGACGGAAACTGTTGCCAGAATGCACACGCTTGGGGTGTGCCCGATACGGCAATTCCGTGCCACCCAACTTCTGGCAATTGTAAAGGACATGGCGAGGCAGATCGGGAGCACAGCGCAGACAATTGTCATTCCTTTTGCCATATTCAAACACATAGTCCTGACAGGCATACCATCATGAATGGCTGCATATAAGTAGTCGAGACACTGTAACCCATACGGCAACGATGTGCATACAGCAAAACTGTACGGGAAACCCACGGGTCCAAGAGACGCAGCGAACAACTTCGGCACACCAGACTGGATCATCGCTTCGAACTCTTGCATGATGTCCTCATCGCTGACGTCGTTTTCTACATGACCATGGTGCTTCATGAAAACAATGATGTTATGCTTCACAACGCTACGATCATCTTCGTTGTGACACTTCGCTTCGTCAAACCGGAAACGCTTGACCCGCTCTGCCATATTAATCCGTACTTCTGTTATTTTCAACACCATGATAGCCATCGCTACCGATGCGGGCACCAAACAGATCATCGTCAGCAGGGACCTCAAGGTCTCGAGGGGCAGCGACGAGTCTCCCAAAATGCCAGGTATCCGCCACCGTGCTCGCTGGAACGTTGAGGCGTGGTAAATCGGGGACGCCCAAGAGGGGGGGCGTCCCAGAAGGGGGGGCGCAAATCATGGCCGGCGGCTTGCGCGCGGCCCAGGGGGGGGGCTAGGACGTAGTGAAAAAAGGAGCACCATGAGATCCCCCACCATGATGCCCCCCCTGCCCAATCATGACCCCCCTCTTGGCCGCCCCCGCTGTAAAATGCCAAGTGCTGCGGGCCGAGGTTTCTGCAGCCTTTTCGAAGCCCTTCCCCCACTTCACTCGCGTTCATCTGCGTCATTGGGAGAAGAAGAAAACCGCATAAACCTAAACTTTGGGCGCTTCGCGCGGATTCCTGGATCCGCGCTGGACCCCCCTCCCTGGCGCGCTCCGCGCGCCAGGGGCGGCGCGGGAGGAGCCGCCGGGGGGGGGGGCAGGCCCAGCGCGGATCCAAGAAACCCGCGCGGAGCGCCAACAGTTTACTCTGTAAGAACGGTTTTTTGAAGGCAGATCTGCCTTCAAAACCTGCAAGGAGGAAAGACTGGTCTACTCTGTAAGAACGGTTTTTTGAAGGCAGATCTGCCTTCAAAAAACCGTTCTTACAGAGTAGACCAGTCTTTCCTCCTTGAAGGCAGATCTGCCTTCAAAAAACCGTTCTTACAGAGTAGACCAGTTTATGCTCATGGCTTTCTTTGTTCTTCGCCTCGAGGCTCCTCGGGCGCCTGGCCGCCTCCCCGGCGCTGCTCCCGGGCCACGGGCAGGCCGGCCCGAGGTGGCTTCCAGGACCGCCCCGGCAGGCCATCCGAGCCGCTACAAGGCGGTCCAAGGTGCCCCCACGACAGCCCTGGGGTTAGGTCGGGCCTGCCCCTACAGGGGGATTTTGGAAGAAAAGTTACAAACAGTTCAAACATACTCCCAAGATGGCCGCGGGACTGCCCACGCGGCTCTCAAGCCGGTCTGAGAGTGCTCGACGAGAGCCCTCATCGGCGGCGAGAGCCCGAGAGGGGAGTGCGAAGGAGAAGGCCACTTCAGAAGGCTCGTGAGTCCCCCGAGCCACTTCGGAAGGCTCGTGAGTCCCCCGAGCCTTCTGAGAAGGCCTTCTCCTTCTCGCTTCCACCCCTCGCTCGCTGCCGACCTCAGCAGGCCCGGAGAGGCCAAATTCATGGACTCCCCGTTCGGTGCTCGACCGATGATAGCCTCCTCACCTCCTCGGGCTTCCGTGAGCTCAAGGCGGCCCACGAGGCCTCCCACATGGCCTTTAAGGCGGCGCACGAGGGCCTCCAGAGGGCCCCCACGCAGACGGCTCCAGATCCCAACTCGGCAGGCCCCCTGGAGGGCCCCAAGACGACCCAGAGAGCCCCCCCCCCCCCCCAACGCGAACGCCGAAGGTGCCCCGACGGCCCGAGAGCGCTCCCCGCACGGCCCGAGGAGCCCCCCGGGAGCCTGGGCTGGAGTTCGAGGAGCTCGAGGAGCTCCCCGACGGCCAGAGAGCCCCCCTGGAGTCCAGGGGCGCCCCCCGAGACGCTGGCTGCCGAGAGCCCCGAGGAGGGGCCCCCACGAGGCACCCGGCAGCGGTTGCACCCAAGGCCTTCGACGAGCCCACGTTGTCGCACGTTACGGCCCTCGGGTGTCTTCTCGAGCAGTCGCCGCCCAGAGTGCTGCACTGGCACAGTGGCGAAATGGCCAGAGGCAGCTGAATGTACAGCATATGCCAGGCCGCATTGTAGAGAAACACGAGAACCATTCCACCAATGACGACTTTTGTGAACCACGCGTGCCTGACGTGAATGGCACTCCCAGGGTGCAGCATCATGAAGCTCGCAACCTCGTACACCGTCCACAGCTTCTGGAGGTACTCGTCGGAGTAGCATATTAATAAGCTCCACGAATAATACAGGAAGGCAGCGAGATGCTCGATGCCGCGCTGTCGGAGCGCATCATTAGACTGGTGAATACATGCCCTGTCCAAGAAGAGAAACCTTCCACGATACGGCAAAAGCCTGCAGAGCTCCTGCCAGCATGACAAGATAAAAATAAACGTTGCCAAACCGAATACCTGGCACCAAGGCCCCATCCTTGTTCCATCTATGAACACCATCCCCGGTAGAATCCCAGCCACTGTGAGAGGTCCCGCTGCAACAACTACCAGTGCTGTGCTGAAGACTGCTGCCCTCATATTCAGATGAAGTGCCAATATCAAAAACTTATCATGCCGCGGCATGGACCAGTTATGTGATACAAACACATCCACGTGATCGGCGCGCAGGGACATCCCATACCAATCGCCGGCGCCCTGGTTTGAGTCGAGAACTGCTCCCCAAGACCGCATCACGTGTGTGGAGCACGAGACACGAAGGATATCTGGATCGTCGAAACTTATGTTCTTTATCGCAATTTGCCTGAAGTCTGCGAAGGATTCCGTCTTCCCAAACCGTCTCTCCAAACCGGCAAAATTAAAACTGATGGGAAATGACAACGCCCTCCAAGATGGGCTGTCGAGGACGCTACTCGGTGTTTGTGATGCTCGTGATGAATGCGACTGCCCTCGCTGCGGAGTCTCCCCTCCGTCCGCTGTTGGCGATGACTGGCCCCTGCCCAGTGATCGAGCTGACTGACTGGAGCCGAACTCACGAGAAGACTGTGATGGAACGGCCATGGCTGGGATTAAACTGCAGTTGCCGCTGGCCACTTGCCAGCATGGATTGAGCCAGTGCACCTGAGAGCCCAACTGGCAGGCTTCGGAGGCTTCCTGTGCTGCTCTTCTTCCCGAAGCAGCCGCTTTGCCTCTCTCTCTCACTCTCTCTCTCTCTCTCTCTTATATATATGTATATGCAAACACATTTATACATTGTACATATACATACGCATACAACTATATACACATACACATATGATACCGGAGAAAAGTCCCAATCAGATTTTTGTTGGGGCTATGGGACCGTAGAGCTGTATGGGGCTATAGGGCTATATGAGATACATGGCTATAGGGGTATAGTGCTATAGGGCTATTGGGCGGTAGGGCTATAGGGCCATAGAGTTATAGGGCTATAGGGATATAGGAATATAAGGCTATAGGGCTATTGGGCTATAAGGCTACATGGGCTTTATGGGCTGTTGGGCTGTTGGGCTATTGGGCTATTGGGCTATAGAGCTACCCCGGGCACCTCCGGGCACCCCTAGGCACCCAGGCACCCGGGCACCCACGGGCACCCGGGCACCCGGGCACCCGGGCACCTGGGCACCGGCCACCGAGGGCACCAGGCACCCCCGGGCATCCGGGCACTCGGGCACCCGGCCACCAAATCGGCGCCCCACCTCACCTAACCATATGAATCCGCTGGGACCCCTACAGAGGCAAGCTCTGATTGGGGAATCTACACATATATTCATGATACCGGAGAAAAGCCCCAATCAGATTTTTGTTGGGGCAATGGGGCTATATGTGCTATATGGCTATAGGGGTATAGTGGTATAGGGCTATCGGGCTATTGGGCTATAGGGGCTATAGAAACCTTAGGGCTATAGGGCTACAGGGCTATAGGGCTATAGGGCTATAGGGCTATAGGGCTCTAGAGCCATAGGGCTCTAGGGCTCTAGGGCTATAGGGCTACTGGGTTATTGGGCTATTGGGCACCCCCGGGCACCCAGGCACCCCCGGGCACGGGAAGCGCGCGGGCGGAGCCCGCCGCCCCCCCCCCCCCCCCCAGGCGCGGGGGCGGGGGGCCGCCGCCAGGGGGGAGCACTGGCCGCAGGAATCGGCTCCTGCCGGCACGCGACTGACGCTGAAGCTGGCAGAATGCTCGCGAACACGCGGCCGTTTGCCACTCCGGCCTGCGGCGGCTCCTGCTGCCAGATCCTCCTCCTCCTCCTCCTCCTCCTCCTCCTCCTCCTCCTCCTCCTCGTCATCCTCCTGCTCCTCCTCCTTCTGCTTCTCTTCTGCTCGTTGTCGTCGCCTCCTCCTCCTCCTCCTCCTCCTCCTCCCTCCTCCTCCTCCTGCTCCTCCTGCTCCTGCTCCTCCTCCTTCTCCTCTCCTCCTCCTCCTCCTCCTCCTCCTCCTCCTCCTCCTCCTCCTCCCCCTTCTCCCCCTTCCTCCTTCTCCTCCTTCTCCTCCTTCTCCCCCTCCCTCAGCGCGTGTTGGTGCCAACGTGCGTTTGTCAACTGAGGCCCTTCAATGAGAAGCAGTCAGTGTAGGAAGGGCCGGCACAGCCTGCGTACTATCGATGGAGCTGAGCGGGGTCAGCACGCAATGCGCTAACACACGTTCTGAAGATCATCGATCCCTCCTTCTCCTTCTCCTCCTCCTCCTCTTCCTCCTCCTCCTCCTCCTCCCAGGACTGGCGCTGAACGGGATAGGTGTCGCCCCCGACACCCTCCCCCGGGGGGTAGCGGCGCCCCCGCGTGCGACAGGTCGATGAGCTTCGGCGGCGCCCCCGTCTGCGGGGCCTCATCGTCCAGGTGTCCGCCCGGCCTCGGAGCTCCCGCAAAGCAACGACCACGGCGACCTCAAAAACGACGACAACCACCACCACCACCACGACGACGACCACGACGACGACCACCACCACGCCACCACGACCACGACCACGACCACGACCACGACCACGACCACGACTACGACGACGACGACGACGACGACGACGACGACGACGACGACGACGACGACGGCGACGACGACGACGACGACGACGACGACCAGGACCACGACCACGACCACCTCGACCCCCGCCGCGCGCCCGCCGGACCATGCCCGCGGGGCGGGCCCTGCACTCTAGCCGAGCCAAAATCGACATAGACATGAACTGTATTTCAGAGATTTCTCTCCGCAAGCACTCCGCGAGCGCGCCACCAAGGTCCGCAGCAAAATCGCAGCTCGTTGAACGCCATCGCGTCGACAGAGGGACCAGCCACAGACATGAGCTTTTGGAGGTCCGCGAGGGTTTCTTGCGTCGGCGCTGTGGCCCCCCGGCGGCGCCTTCGCCAGCGAGGGGGGGCCCAAACTCCGATCCCAGGAATCCGCGCGGACCTGCCGAGCTTTCTCTGCTCATGCCGATGCTTCTCCTTCGATTTCCCTCCTCCACCCCTCTGGCCGTCGACACACCGGGCCAGCGAAATCTGGAAAGACCCACCCCGCCCTGGTGGCCCGAGAACCAAGGGGCAATGTCAGGGCGGACAGACTCAGGGGGGGGATGCATCAGACTTTGATCGTCCGTTCATCGCCGACCGGGGCCCGATTGCTCATCCCGCCCAGGACCGTGCGGATTTGCTATCGAGGGCCTATCGCCGCTCCATCGGCGATGTATCGCCGACTCCAGCTCAATGCTTTCCTTCCTGGTCCGGGCCCATCCTGGGCCACGGGAGCGACGTGGACGCCCCTCTGGCTTCGCCAAGCAGGCACCATGCACCGATCCTGGGCCCAGGATGGGCCGGGCCAGGGGCGCTGGATATGCTAGTACGCACACGGAGGCGCCCTCCCTGCCTGCTGTGCCCGCAGCTGGCTGTCCCCGGCGCCCCCCCCGGCGCCCACAGCCTCGAGGAGCGCGCCGGGCGGCGGGGCGCCGGGGACAGCCAGCTGCGTGCGGCAGCTGCCGTACCCCCCCTCTCGCCTGGCCCGAGCGGGGCGGCGCCGAGACACTGCCGCCCGCGCCCGCCGGTCGAAGCCCGCGGGCCTTCCCCCTGCCATGCCCTCGCCCCTCGCCGCGCACCCCGCGGGGCATCCTCCTGGCTGCCCCCGCGGTCCCGCAGCTGGGTTTGCCCGCGCCTCCCGGCGCGTGCAGCGCGCACGTGTCCAGGAATATAGGCCACCTGACTTCGCGCATCGCGCCCCGCGATGGGCGATTCTCTTCGCGCCCTCGCGCCGCCCCCTCCTCCTCCGCTGCCTCCTCCTCCTCCCACTCCTCCTCCCTCCTCCTCCTCCCTCCTCTCCTCCTCCTCTCCTCCTCCTCCTCCTCCTCCTCCTCCCCTCCTCCTCCTCCTCCTCCTCCCCTCACTCCCTCCTCCTCCTTCGCCTCATACTCCTCGTCCTCGTCCTTGTCCTCGTCCTCGTCCTCGTCCTCGTCTCTCCTCTCCTCCTCCTCCTCCTCCTCCATCGTCCTCGTCGCTCGTCCTCCTCTCGTCCTCGTCCCTCCTCCTCCTCCTCCTCCTCCTCCTCCTCCTCCTCCTCTCCTCTTCCGCCTCGTACTCCTCGTCCTCGTCCTCCCCTCCTCCTCCTCCTCCTCCTCCTCCTCCTCCTCTCCTCCTCCTCCTCCTCCTCCTCCGTCGTCCCTCCTCCTCTCCTCCTCCTCCTCCTCCTCCTCCTCCTCCTCCTCCTCCTCCTACTCCTCCTCCTCCTCCCCCTCCTCCTCCTCCTGGGTGAGGGGCGAGCGCTCTGGCCCAGGCCGCGACGCGAGCGGCGCGATGAATTACCTCTGCGCTCCCGCGGGCGGCCGCGGAGACGTGCCCGGCGGCGGGGCCGGGAGCGGGCCGGCGCACGGCAGCAGCTGCGGCAGCCCGCCCGAGCCGGCCAGAGGATGGGAGATTCGCAGCGGCTGCGGAGCGGCACCGAGCCACAGCTACAGTCGGGCACGCGAGAGGAGAGAAGTCCCTCCAGAGGGCTGCACGTCGTTCATGTCTAACCGTGCTCGTTTCTAATCGTTCTCGCTTCTAGTTGTTCCTGGCCCCCTAGTGGCCAGGAAGAGGACCAGGATAAAACAGTTAAAAATAAAAAACTGACCCCCCCCCAAAAAAATCAAAGACATTCGAGAAATTAAAAATGAACAATGTGTACAGCCACAGCCGGGCTTGATCGGAGGGGAGACGCGAGAGGGCAGAGAAGACCCTCCCGAGGGCTACATCGCCACAGGAATGCACAAGGCACGGGCCTCCAGAGAGAGGACACAAGGGGTACCCTTGGCTTGGCAGGGTCGACCTACGAAACAAGGCCGACTGCACTAAGAGCAACCAGCCACCTCGCCAGCGCCAAGACTGCCAGGAAGCAAGCAGCCTGCCCTCAGAGCCCGCGTGCTCACACTCTTTCAGTAGAGCTGTCCATCTCCTTCCCCATCCACAATGATATGTCGAAGCAGAAGCACAGCGTGATGGATATGGGATCCAATCGGAATATCCGCCGATCCGGCGTGTGAGTTTGGGAGAGCGTGGGCTTGAGCTCGCTCAAGCTTCGCTCTGGAGAGGGGGGGGGGACGAATTCCAAGGGAATTCACTGAATACACAAGCCTCCGGGGGTGGGGGGACGAATTCCAACGGAATTCACTGAACGCACAAGCTCTGGAGAAGGGGAAGGGGGGGGGGGGACGCTTCGCTCTGGAGGGGCGGGGAGGGGGGGGGGACGAATTCCAACGGAATTCACTGAACGCACAAGCTCTGGAGAGGGGGGGGGACGAATTCCAATGGAATTCACTGAACGCACAAGCTCCCCCGCCTCCCACACATACCCACTTCCCTCTCTCCGAGAGGCATCTTCTTCTCTGACCCCCCACCCACCCCACCGACAGCCCCCCCCCAAAAAATAGACCCCCCCCCTTCCAGGACAGACCCCCCCCCCTCTCCGACAGACCTCCTTCCCCCCTTTCCGACAGACCCTCCCCCTCTCTCCGACAGATATTTCCTTCTCCGACAGACCCCTCCCTTCTCTCCAACCACCCCCCCTTTCTCCGACAGACCCCCCTAGAACAGCAGCACAAGCAGCAGCAGCAGCATCAGACTCCCCCTCTGCTTCTTGACAAGTCTCTTCCTCTCTCCTACAAATCTCTTCCCCCCCCTCCCCGACATAATAACCCCCCCCTCCAGGACAGACACTCCCTCCCCCGGCCCCCCCTCCCCACACAGACCTCTCCCGCTTCCACAAACCCGTCCCCCGTCCTTTCCGACCACCCCCCTCTCTTCTCCGACACACTTGCTCTCCCTTTCTCCCATAGACTCCCCCCCTCTTCCCCTCACCCCCTACACCGACGTCTCGCGCTTTTACACCCCCCCTCCAAAACAGACCCCCCTTTCGACGTATCCCGTTCCGCTCTTCCACTTTCTCTCCTACAGGCCCCCCCTCCAGGACAAACACCCCCCCTTCTGACATATCCCTTTCCGCTCTTCCGCTTTCTCTCCGACAGCCCCCCCCGCCACTCTCACAGACACCCCCCCACTCCGACAGACCCCTCCGCTCTCCAGGACAGACCTCACCTCTCCGAGAAATCTCCCTCCTTCTTTCCGGCAGAGCCTCTCTCCTGTCCTGGACAGACGCCGCCCTCTCTCCGATGACCATCGAGGCCTCAGGATGTCTCCAACAGACCCCCATAGGGACCCAAGAGCGCCCAAGAGAGAAACCCAAGATAGCCCCAAGGCCGCCCTAAGAGCGCCCCCCCTGTCGCAGGCACCCCCGCCCACTCCGACAGAACCCCCTTCCTCCAGGACAGACCTCACCTCTCCGAGAAATCTCCGTCCTTCTTTCCGACAGAGCCTCTCTCCTGTCCTGGGCAGACGCCGCCCTCTCTCCCACACTTCCCCCGCTCCTTCGGCAAACCCCCTCTCCCCCAACAACAGACCCCCCCTCTCCCCTTCATCCTTTTCCGCTCTTCCGCCTTCTCTCCTACAGACCCCCCCCCCCGCTCACAGACACCCCCCCACACTCCGACTGACCCCCCCCTACCCAGGACAGACCTCATCTCTCCGAGAAATCCCCTTCTTTCCGACAGAGCCTCTCTCATGTCCTGGACAGACCCCGCCCTCCCCTCTCCCACAATTCCCCCCCCCTTCGACAGACTCCCCCTCCCCCAACAAGAGAAGCTCAAGCAGCAGCAGCAGCAGCAGCAGCAGCAGCAGCAGCAGCAGCAGCAGCAGCAGCAGCAGCAGCAGCAGCAGCAGTAACGGCACCAACAGCAGAACGAGCAGCATCAGCAGCATTACTCGCGCACAGCCACAGACGCATCCCAAACGGCCCGCGACGGCTCGCATACATACCCACCCTGTTTTAGGACAGACCCCACCCCCCTCCGACAAATCTCTTCCCTCCTCCCCGACAGCCCCCCCCACCCCTCCAGGACAGAACCCCCCCTCCGACTGACCCCTCCCCCCAAACAAGAGCAGCACAAGCAGCAGCAGCATCAGCAACAGCACCGACTGCAGCACGAGCAGTATCAGCAGCATTACCAATGCACTTCCACAGACGCGTCCCAGACGACCCGCGACGATTCGCAGACACACCTCCCCTGTTTCAGATCAGATCCCCCCCTCTCCCGGCCGATCTCTTCCCCCCCTCTTCGACAGACCCCCTGGCCTCCAAGACAGACCCCCCCCTCCCCCGGCCATCCAGCACCCACCTCCGAGATGTTCCAAGATAGCGTTAACTTAGATGCATCAAAATGAATCCGAAGATGCTTCAAGAGGCCCCGAGACCGCCCCAAGACGGCTCCAAACACCAAATAGCTCCCCAAAGAACCTTCCAAAAAACAGCATCCTTCGAAAGCCTACGGAAAACGAATGACTTCTGCCCATCGCCTTTTCTCTTCCGGTGACCATCCGAGGCCTCAGGATTCCTCCCAAAGACCCCCAGAGGGACCCAAGAGCGCCCAAGAGAGAAGCCCAAGATAATTAGCCCCAAGGCCGCCCTAAGAGCGCCCCCCCTGTCACAGACACCCCCGCCCACTCCGACAGACCCCCCTTCCTCCAGGACAGACCTCACCTCTCCGAGAAATCTCCGTCCTTCTTTCCGACAGAGCCTCTCTCTGTCCTGGACAGACGCCTTCCTCTCTCCCACACTTCCCCCGCCCCTTCGACAGCCCCCCCCTCCCCCAACAACAGACCTCCCCTCTCCCCTTCCGACATGTCCCTTTCCGCTCTTCCGCTTTCTCTCCTACAGACCCCCCCCCGCTCTCACAGACACCCCCCCACACTCCGACTGACCCCACCCAGGACAGACCTCACCTCTCCGAGAAATCCCCCTCTCTCGCAAGACAGAAGAGAGCCCCTCCTGTCCTGCACAGACCCCGCCCTCTCTCCGACAACCCCCCCCTCTCCTTCCTTCTTTCCGACTGACCTCTCTCTTCTCCGACCACCCCACCCCCCCTTCGACAGACCCCCCCCCCAACAAGAGCAGCACAAGCAGCAGCAGCAGCAGCAGCAGCAGCAGCAGCAGCAGCAGCAGCAGCAGTATCAGCAACACCACCAACAGCAGAACGAGCAGCATCAGCAGCATTTCTCGCGCACGGCCATAGACGCATCATCATCACCACATCACATCATCATCATCATCAATCATCATCATCATCATCATCATCATCATCATCATCATCATCATCATCATCATCATCATCATCATCATCATCATCATCATCATCATCATCATCATCATCATCATCATCATCATCATCATCATCATCATCATCATCATCATCATCTCATCATCATCATCATCATCATCATCATCATCATCATCATCATCATCATCATCATCATCATCATCATCATCATCATTCATCATTCATCATCATCATCATCATCATCATCATCATCATCATCATCATCATCATCATCATCATCATCATCATCATCATCATCATCCCCGGGAATGCCCTGGATCGGCGGCACTGGCCAGAGGCCACTACAATTAACATGAACGCATCCATCCAAAGCCCGCGGGCCGAAACCAAACCGTGATATATCACGTGCGCTTTACAGTCAAGACTGACTGCAAAGGACAACTGACAAGATAATGACAGGATGTACGTCCCCTCCGAAGGCAACCTGTGCTGCAGACATGAGCAGGGCGTGACATGCGATAAACAGGACAAACACGAAATACTTTTGACCTTACAACTTGCAAGGTCGACCTACAGACCCGGCTCCATGTCCGAACAAGATGCCTGGACACGAACTACTCCTACGATTGAAGTGCTGCTGCTTAGTATGCCCCTCCTTGCGGACACAAGACGACCTTTGAGCTGGTCCCGTGGACGGCTGGTCATGCGGCCCCAGAGCCAGATTCCGAGATGCAGAAGAACTCGGGCGAAAGCACTGCTCCTTCGAGCCGCTCCGGACCTGATGGCGGCGAGGATGCCTCCCTGCGGCTCAGAAAGCGAGACGCGAGCACACGAGTGTTCGAGGCGGCCTGGGGGTCTGTACTGGATGGGCCCCGAGAGAATCTGTCAAGAAGGGGGCCACATGCGAACCCTACCCCTACCCCCCACGATTTCTGAGGGGGAGGGTGGGGTTCACTTCTCTCGGGAGCTCCCGAACGAAGTGAACCCCACCCTCCCCTCAGAAATCGTGGGGGGTAGGGGTAGGGTTCGCATTTGGCCCCCTAGTCAAGAAGGGGGGGATAGAGAAATTCACTCCAAATCAGTTCTCGGGCCGCCCCCCCCCCCAAGAGTTCTATCTGGTTTTTCACCCCGGATCCGTTTCTGACGGCCACCCGAGGCCGAAAAAGAAGCAAAACAGCAGAACCCAGCACCTCGGACCGCTCCCTTCCCCCCCTCCTGCTCGCCGGAACCACTGCTGGGCCAGCCGGCTCCAACGAGAAAGCGGGACGCGAGTACACGACAAGGGCACAGATCTCATCACCAAAACAGCCCCAGCAGCACGGGCCGTCGTGCCGAAGCATGCGCTGAGCTCCGCGCGCTGCGGCGGCGTCGCTGCGGCCGAAGAGCACGTTGGCGGGCTTGTGGGGGAGGGCACGGACGAGGAGGAGGAGGAGGAGGACGAGGACGAGGACAAGGCGGAGGAGGTGGCGGAGGAGGAGGACGAGGAGCGAAGTGGATCGCTACAAAAAAGCAAGATCTGCGAGCCCTCGGCGGGCGCGTTAGAGCTCGCCACCGAGGCGGGGACCGCTCGCGGCGGGGCCCCCTATGGGCACCTAGGGCAAGGGCAACAATGCGGATGCACTTCGCTCCTCGTCCTCCTCCGCCCCTCCTTCGCCTCGTCGTCGTCCTCCTCCTCCTCCTCCTCCTCCTCCTTCCCTCCTCCTCCTCCTCCTCCTCTCCTCCCTCCCTCCTCCTCCTCCTCCTCCTCCTCCTCCTCCTCCCTCCTCCTCCTCCCTCCCCCTCCTCCTCCTCCTCCTCCTCCTCCTCCTCCTTCTCCTCCTCCTCCTCTTCCTTCTCCCCCTCCTCCTCCTCTCCTCCTCCTCCTCCTCCTCCTCCTCCTCCTCCCTCCTCTTCCTTCTCCCCCTCCTCCTCCTCCTCCTCCTCCTCCTCCTCCTCCTCCTCCTCCTCCTCCTCCTCCATGCCTTGTCCTGAAAAATAACTTTTCCCTGTCGCACCCCGAAACCAGTTTTTAGGGCGGGCCGGGCGTTTCGCCTGAGACTTCCTCACCATGTATGACTCTGAATCCTAAACATTGGCAACAGCTCCACAGATGGATGGCGGGTCGTTTTCAAAATGTGGCTCTCGCCTCAGCGCGGCGCACACTCGTTTTTAACAATTGCAAGAGCTTCACGGGTTGAGGGCGGGTCGTTTTACAACATGTGGCTCTCGCATTAGCGCCGCGCACATTCGTTTAAACAAATTGAAGGCGAGTGGTTTTCAAAATGTGGCTCTCGCCTTAACGCCGCGTACATTCGTTTTAAACATTTGCAAGAGTTTGACATATTGAGGGCGGCTGGTTTTCAAAATGTTGCTCTCGCCTTAGCGCCGCGCACATTCGTTTTTAACAATTCACAAGAGCTTCACGGATTGAGGGCGGTTCCTTTTCAGCATGTGGCTCTCGCCTTAGCGTCTCGCACTTTCGTTCACAAAAGATTTAAAAGTTTCACGGACTCCCATCATCAGCGTACCAGGAATGATGTTTTAGAAGGGTTCAGGATTATGCGGGTGCAACAATTACATTGGTTCTTTGTGTTGAGGTCCTAGGAAAAGCGTTCTGGCATGATTCAGGATCGTCAAGACGCAACGATCAGGTTGATCCGTGGCATTGAAATCCCGAGAACAATGTTTTGGTATGCTTCAAGGTCTTCAAACGGGTGTCTTCCGACGAGGCAGTTCCATCAATGGATATGAACCGTTGTAGGGGCCTTTGAGGAGGGAGCTTGGAGGGAGGGCTTACTACAACTTCGTTGATGACCCTTGGGTTTACTCTGGTCCTGCTCCCTCTCCTCCTCCTCCTCGTCCTCGTCCTCCTCCTCCTCCTCTTCCGCCTCGTCCTCCTCTTCCGCCTCCTCCTCCCCCTCCTCCTCCGCCTCCTCCTCCTCCTCCTCCTCCGTCGTTGCAGCCGCGGGCAGCTGCCCCGAAGGCAGCGCAGGCAGAAACCGAGACAGGGGCTGAAGGGACCTGCAGCCGGGGGCGGTGCCAACCATATGGAAGCCCAGTTTCGCCTGGTGGCGCCTCTCTGCTGACAGCGGTCCGCCGCGTCCCCCCAGCTATGCACCCTCGGGGCCACTCTGGGGGCGATGGTGGCAGGGCGGCCGGGCCAGATCCAAAGTCGTGCTGCATCTTGTGCAGGCATGCGGCGTATGCCTGCTTCGCTCCGCTCTTCCCGAAACACAACTTGAGCTGCGAGAGCGTACTGCAAGGAATAATGAGAAGCATGCACAGAGCGCGGCGTGAGGAAGTCAGTAAACGTAGTTGTGCGGATGTATCTCTCCTCCTCATCATCATCATCATCATCATCATCATCATCATCATCATCATTATCATCATCATCACCACCACCATCATCATCATCATCATCATCATCATCACCATCATCCTCATCCTCATCCTCATCCTCATCCTCATCCTCATCCTCATCCTCATCCTCATCCTCATCCTCATCCTCATCCTCACCCTCACCCTCATCCTCATCTCATGATCATGATCATGATATGATCATGATCATGATCATCATGATCATGATCATGATCATGATCATGATCATGATCATGATCATCATCATCATCATCATCATTCATCATCATCATCATCATCATCATCATCATCATCATCATCATCATCATAGTCGTGCTGTTCCTCCTCCTCCTCCTCCTCATACTCGCCCTCATCCTGCTCATACCCCGTTTCCTCTCATCCTCCTTCCCTTCCTCTCCTCCTCTTCCCATCCTCTTCCCTTTCCAGCTCCAACTCCTCCTTCTCCCGCCTCCCGAAGCCTATCACGGTTGGATCTCGGGCCATAACCCGAGCCTCTGGCGGCCGTTCGGGACAATCCGGGCACCCCCGGACGCCTCTCGGCGAGGCGCAGCTGCTGGAAGGCATCCCAAGGCCAGAAAAGAGTCGAGGACCCACGAAAACGCCTCCAAACCTCGAATCTCGAACCCGAAACTTCCCCCCCTTAGCCGCATCCCAGGGCCAGAAAACAGTCGAGGACCCGCGAAAACGCCCCAAAACCTCGAACCTCGAACCCGAAACTTCCCCCCTTAGCCGATCCCCGGGACGGTGGCGCCCACCCGAACAAGCCAGAGGGCCTCCGCGGACTCTGGCGC